ACAAAACAGCTGATTGAGAGGTGTGGGGAAGGAGGGGGAGGCGCTGATTGGCTGGTGTGATGGTGGGTGGGAGGCACTGGGAGCGGGGTGGGGGGAAGCTGATGGGGGGCTGCTGACGTATTACTGTGGCTCTTTGACAATGTCCATTGGTAAATTCTGGCTCCTTCTCAGGCTGGCCACCCCTGATCTACTTTGACATCCTGCATAGCATGGGCCAGAGAATCTCACCCAGTTACCTCTGTATTGATCCCAATCACTTGTGTTTGCCTACAGCCAGGGCTGGCTCCAGGGTTTTTGCCTCCCCAAGCTGCCAAACAAAAACAACAACCAAAAAAGCCGCGATTGCGATCTGCGACGGCAATTCGGCAGGAGGTCCTTCGCTCCGAGCAGGAGTGAGGGACCGTCCGCCGAATTGCCCCCGAACAGCTGGACGTGCCGCCCCTCTCCGAAGTGGCCGCCCCAAGCACCTGCTTGGTAAGCTGGTGCCTGGAGCCGGCCCTGCCTACAGCAGTGGTTCTCAGCCCGGGCTATGCAGAGGTCTTCCAGGGGGTGCATCAACTCATCTAGATATTTGCCCAGTTTTACAACAGGCTACAAAAAAAAGCACTAGTGAAGTCAGTACAAACTAAAACGTCATACAGACAATGACGTGTTTATTCTGCTCTATATACTATACAATGAAATGTAAGTACAATAGTTATATTCCATTTGATTTATTTTATAATTATATGGTAAAAATGAGGAAGTCAGCAATTGTTCAGTAATAGTGTATTTTTATGTCTGATTTTGTAAGCAAATTAGTGCGGTGTAACTTGGGGGAACACAAGCCAAATCAGACTCCTGAAAGGTGTCCAGGCATCTGGAAAGGTTGAGAGCCACTGGCCTAAAGCATCTCTTCCAGAAAGGCCTCCGTTCTGGATTGGAAGCCGTCCAGTAGACCAGGCCCAGTGAAGTGTGCAGGAACAGGCTCCTATCCCTGTACATAGTGTGGGAGCGCCCGCTCACTGTGTTTCAGAAGTAGTCAGAGCAGCAGGATGTATTTCCCTGGTAGGAGCCGGACAGAGCCTCTAGCGTGGTGGGGAGAATGGAATCCTGCTATGGGGGAAGAGGAAATGTGGGGGACAGAGCCCTGGCACGGTGGGGAGAATAGAGGATCCTGGTATGGGGAAATGGAGGGCAGACAGAACCCCTCACAGGGGGCACCCTAGTATATGCAGAATGGGGGACACACAACCCCTTGTGAGGGGAGGGAAATTGGGGGGATATAGGGGAAGGGGTCATACAGAGGCCCTGGCATTGGGGGGTTTGGGGGGTTGCAGGAAGACCTTGAAATAGAGAGGATGGGAGGAGGGCATTCAGGGAGCTTATGGGGGGATGGAGGGATACCAGGAGTCCCAGAGCTCAGCCTACACGAGCTGTTAAATGCATGCCCCTCTAGCGTATATTTAGAAAACACAATTATTTGGAACCCAGCTGTGATTCCTTCAGATTCTTGTTGTGTAAAGAGCAAAAGACACAACACAGAAGAGAGAAGACATATTTGAGATCAGGAAGGATTTTTCCCCTGGGTCAGATAGGCAGAGACCCTGGGGCCATTGTTTGCCTTCCTCTGCAGCTTGGGGCCCTGGTCGCTTGCAGGCTTAAACTTGTATAAATGGTGAATTCTCTGTAACTTGTAAGTCTTTAACTCATGATTCGAGGACTTCAGTAGCTCAGCCAGAGGTTAGGGGTCTATTATGGGAGGGGGTGGGGGAGGTTCTGTGGCCTGTGATGTGCAGGTCAGGCTAGATGATCCCTTCTGACCTTAAAGTCTATGAGGTGTATTATGGTAGTTCCTAGGGGCCCCAGTCATGGCCCAGGGTCCCACTGTTCTAGGCACTGTACAAACACCAAACAAAAAGACATCCCCTGCCCCAAAGGGCGTACAATATGAGTTTAAAGCAAAAGACAGCAGAGGCAGACAGGGCAGTACAAGGAACCAATGAGATAATACTGGTCAGCAGGATCTGTAGTGGTTTCAGCACACCAGCAGCCTAACTGTTGTCAAGTTTTTTATAGGCATCGCAGCAACGGAGTGTTTTGAGGAGGCATTGGAAGGAGAAGGAGGAAGACGACTCCAGCCTGCTACTGGTCAGTCGCAAATGAGTTTGGAGTCAGGAAGTTGACCGTTCCGGCAGCAGCTAATCCTGCTATGAAGGACTGTGACTCTTGGCAATGTGCATGAAATAGTGGAGGGCTTTGTGGCAATGGGATTCCCTAACTGCGGTAGGGCAATAGATGGCACGCATATTCCAATTTTGACCCCGGACCATCTTGTGACAGAGTACATCAACAGAAAGGGGTACTTGTCTATGGTATTGCAGGCACTTGTGGATCACCGTGGGTGTTTCACTACCATCAACGTGGGTGGTTCAGGAAGGTGCATGACAGGTGCATCTTCAGGAACCCTGGCCTGCACAGAAAGCTGGGAGCAGGGACTTTCTTTCCAGACCAGAAAAGTCCAGTGGGGGATGTTGAAATGCCCATAGTGATCCTGGGAGACCCAGTATACTCCTTGCTCCCATGGCTCAGGGATCTGCAGCAAGGGAGATTTAGGTTGGATATTAGGAAAAACTTTCTAATTTACAGGGACAACTGGGTGGCATTAATGGCCTGTGCTATACAGGTCAGACTAGAATCTATACATTTTAAGCTGTTAGGCAACTAGTAGAAAAAGTGTCCTCCCTCCTTCACGCCCCAGCGCAAAATATCTACTTCATTATATGGTATTGACATATAGCTCTAGTGACAGCTCCAGATAGCATATAAGTAATTATTAAAGAGCATGCTCAGATTTATCACAGAGAGCGATATTTTTATTTTTTCCCGCTCAGTGAGGCTCAGAGGAACCTAGGAGAGGAAAGAACCTCCTGGGTCATTAAGTCCAGTCCTCTGCTAGCATAGACAACCCTGTCAAGTAATTCCATTCATAAATTTATCAAGCTGCATCTTCAAGATAGGTTGTTTGCCCCCACTACTCCTACTGGGAGGCTCTCCCAGAACCTGGACAAATTTCAAGGTAGTTGGATACAAAATCAAGAGAATCTGCAACAATTTGAGGACAAAAATACAAGCTAAACAACCCAGGACGCTGATTTTTCTTTTTAAATTGACATCTTGTTTATTGAATTTCCTAGAATAAAAGTTATGCACAAATCAAAAAAACTTGCTGATGTGCTCTGTACACACAGGATTCCTCTTAAATTAGTGGTGAGACTAAAATTAGAATGCACAAAACCGTACCAACTGGAGTGTCAAGAAATTACACCTAACCAGTTAGGAGGGTCTTAGACAGTATGTATGGGGATGGGTCTAATATAAATTGGTTGGATAGGTGGGTGGGAATGGATGGATGGATGGATCAGATGGATAACTTTATGAGGAGAAGGGGGCATCCATGGGAAATATGAAACCACCGGAACCAAAGCAAACTAAGAAAAGACAGAATGGATCTTGGTCTGATTTCTAGTGGAGATCTCCAAATTTATTACTGAGTGTATTGCAGTAAAGCTTACTGGTCCTAACTGAAATTAGGGCCCCATTGTGCCAGATGCTTCACAGACCCCAATTGAGATCTGAGCCCCCATTGTTCCAGGCACTGCACAGACTCCCAATCGAGCTTGGGGTCCCCACTGTGCTGTGGGATATTTTGCAGATATCTCATGGGATATCTTGCAGAGAGTAGATGACATCATGGAACTCGGAAGTGTGCTGAAGAACGAGAATGCCTAAGTCAGTGGTTTTCAACCTTTTTTTCATTTGCAGACCCCTAAAAAAATCTCAAATGGAGATGGGGGCCTCTTTGAAAATTCAACCTGTGGTCCACGGACCCCTTTCATAGAAGTCTTAGACTGAAAATGGACTGAACGGAATTCAATTATAAATGTTGCACGGGCTCAACACGGCAATTGACATGGCATAAGAAAGGGGGCTAAACTGTGCGCTTCTATGGTAACAACAACAATTCCGGGTTTCGATCTGTAGTATTCACATACTTTTGATTGATCATAAAAATGGAATGCCTTTTCTGGGATCTGAAACTTTATTTTCATAGCCACCTTTCGCAGATCCCTTAGCCATAGTCTACCAACCCCAATGGGTCCACGGACCATAGATTGAAAATCACTGGCCTAAGTGATCTTCTCTGAGATCCTTCCTGTCCCTAGAGCAAAGGAAGACAAAAGATTCTGGAAGTGACCCCCTGGCTAGGTAGGTGGTGTAGGATGTAGGGTTTTGGATTCGTAGAACATTGGCCCATCTTCTGTGGGGCAAGGGGAGCTGTATAGTTTGGATGGCCTCCATCTCAGGATACTTACTGGATGGGGGACTCTCTCCTAGGAAGCAATGACTGAAAAAGATTTGGGGGCTGTCGTGCATAATCAGCTGAGCATGAGCTCCCAGTGTGATGTTGTGACCAAAAGGGCTAATGCGATCCTGGGAGGCATAAACGGGAATCTCAAGAAGGAGTAGAGAGATTATTTTACCTCTGTATTTGGCACTGGTGCAGCCGTTGCTGAAATCCTATGTCCAGTTCTGCTGCCCACAATTCAAGAAGGGTATGGATAAATTGGAAAGGAGTCAGAGAAGAGCCACAAGAATGATTAAAGGATTAGAAAACCTTCCTTACAGTGACAAATGCAAGGAGCTCAATCTATTTAGTTTAACAAAGAGGAGGTTAAGGGAAGGCATGATTACACTCCATAAGAACCTACCTGGGAAACAGAAATTTGGGGCTCTTCAGTCTAGCAGCCAAAGGTATAACAAGATCCAATGGCTGGAAGTTGAAGCTAGACAAATTCAGACTGGAAATAAGGCCTACATTTTTAAGAGTGAGAGGAATTAACCACTGGAACAATTTATCAAGGGTTGCAGTGGACTCTCCATTACTGGCCATTTTAAAATCAAGATTGGATGTTTTTTCTAAAAGCTCTGCTCCAAGAATGATTTCAAAGAAGTTCTCTGGCCTGTGTTATATGGGAGGTCAGACTAGATGATCACAGTGGTCCTTTCTGGCACTGGAATCAATGAATCTATAAATAAATGAATTGCGCCAGGCGCTGCACAGACACACAGGGAGAGACAGTCACGGCCCCAAAGAGCTCATCATCTGAATTTTGATTATCCTCATTTTACACTTTGAGAACAGAGACTCAGAGAAATTAATGAGCTGACCTAAAGCCCATGGGAGTCTTCCCACTGACTTCAACGGGCTTTGGATCAGTCTGCGAACCCCCGACCTTGGCCCCAGGAGAGGGGAAGGAGCAGAGAAGGATGACTAGATCTGGGGAGATCCAGGAGAGTGAAGGGACGGGGCCCCCATGGGATGGGCACAGGCCTTAGGGGACAGGCTGAGCCTGTGGGGGTTAATAATCCTTGCTGGGAAAGAGGTATGGGAGGGGGACATGCCCCAGCAAGGACGGGATTCCTGGTAGAAATGACTTAAAACGCCACCTCCTTTTCCCCATGATGCCCAAATCCAGCCTCCAGCCCTTCACCCTGCCCACCTGCGTCAATAAAATTCAATAAAGATGAGTGCTAACCAATAAAGATAACCAAAAATGGTTAGTATCATTCTGGGGTGGATTAGCGGGAGTGACTTACATAAGACACAGGAGATAACTGTCCTGTTCCATTCGGCACTAGTGAGGCCTTAGCTGGAGAACTGTGTCAAATCCTGGGCACCACAGAAAGATGTGAATAAATGATAGAGAGTCCAGAGAACAGCAACAAAAATGATATAAGGTTTAGGAAACCTGACCTAGAAGAACAGTCTTAAGAAACTGGGCATGTTTAGTCTAGAGAAAAGAAGACTGAGAGGGGACTGATAACAACCTTTAAATATATTAAGGGTTGCTATAAAGAGGATGAAGATCAATTGTTCTCCCTGTCCACTGAAGGAAGGACAAAAAGTCACGGGCTCGATCTGCAGCCAGGGAGATTTAGGTTGGATATTAGGAAAAACTTTCTAATTTTCAGGGTAGTTAAGTTCTGCTATAGGCTCCCGAGAGAGGTTGTGGAATCCCCGTCATTGGAGGTTTTTAAGAACAGGGGGGACAAACACCTGCCAGGGAGAGGGTTACTTGGCCCTGTCTCAGCGCAGGAGCCTGGAATTGATGACCTCTTGAGGTCTCTTCGAGTCCTACATTTCTATGATTCTATCACTGCAGCTTCTCTTTCAGCCTGGCTGAGTGCACCGTGTCCCCAGGGGCAGCCCTGCTGCCCCTCCTCCACATCCCGTGGCCGGATGAAGGGATCCCTGTACAGGCGGCTGGCAGTGGGCACGTCCGACAGGCTCTTCTCCTTGGCATGAGTCCTCTGGTGCTGGGCCAGAGCCGAGCCCTGAGAGAATCCCCTCCCGCAGTGGGGGCAGACATAGGGCCGCTCCCCGGTATGGATGCGAACATGCTGCGTCAGTGCTGAGCTCTGCTTGAAGCTCTTGCTGCACTGGGTGCAGCGGTAGGGCCGCTCTCCCGTATGGGTGCGCCGGTGCCGCTTGAGGGCCGAGCGGTCCCCGAAGCCCTTCCCACAGTCCCCACAGCGGTGCGGGGTCTCGCCGGTGTGGGTCCGCTGATGCTGGATAAGCGCCGAGCTCTGGCTGAAGCTCTTCCCGCACTGGGCGCAGTGGAAGGGCCGCTCCCCGGTGTGCAGTCGCCGGTGGGTGGTCAGCGCCGAGCGCTGGCTGAAGCTCTTCCCACATTGGGGACATGGGTAGGGTCTTTCACCCCGGTGGGTGCGCTGGTGTTGCAGCAGGGACGACCGCTGGGTGAACCCTTTGCCGCACTCCCCGCAGGCGTTGGGCCGCTCGCCGGTGTGGGTGCGCCGGTGCCCATTGAGGATGGAGCGTCGCATGAACCCCTTCCCACACTGGGGGCAGACGTGGGGCTTCTCCCCGGTGTGCACCCGCCGGTGCTCCGTCAGCGACGAGCCGCGCCGGAAGCTCTTCCCGCACTCGGGGCACTTGTGGGCCCGCTCCCCGGAGTGCGCCACCAGATGTGCCACCAGGGCGGTGATCTCCCCGAAGCGCCGGCCGCACTCCGTGCACTTGTAGGGCAGCTCCCCCGTGTGGCTACTCTGGTGCCGCAGCAGGTTGGTGCGGGTGCTGTAGGCCGCCCCGCAGTGAGCGCAGACGTAGGGTTTTAACCCAGCGTGGACGCGGCTGTGGCGAGTCAGGTGCTCCTTGTGGCGGAAGCTCTTCCCGCACTCGGCACATGGGTAAGGCCTGGCGCCGGTGTGGATGCGCTGGTGGCGGAGGAGATTGGAGCGGATGGCAAAGCTCCTCCCACAGTCAGGGCACTGGTAGGGCCTCTCGCCCGTGTGGGTGCGCTGGTGTTTGACGAACTCCGAGCTCTTCCCGAAGCTTTTCCCACAATCCCCGCAGATGATGGGCCCCTCTCTTGCCCGCGGGTGACCACCGGTCTTGGGTCTTTCCTGCTGAGATGGCTTCCCCTGCTGCCATCCCACGCCCCCGGATGCCGCTCCCAGCTCTGGGCTCTGGGACGTCCTGTGCAGCTCCACTCCTGCAGGCCCTTCCTGCTGGGGCTTTTCCCTCCTGGCACCTGCTGGGAGAGAGAAAGAATCCAGCTAGGGTCTGACCATGTGCTTCGATATCTCCGCTGGGATCAGAAACAGGCTTATCTCACAGGAACCCCTCATTCAAGAAGCTGGACATTACCACAGCTCGGCAGAACCATGACAGTGACTTGGATCTAATGGCTCACATGGCACGTAGAGAGAGAGAGCACCCAGTAGTTTGCCTCAGCATTGATCAGTAGGGGGCGCTGAGCTGCAGGGAGTAGGGGAGGGAAAGGGGCTCAGTAAAGGGCCATCTCTTCATGCAGTGGGTGCTGACCCCAATGCAGGGAAGAGAATGGGTCAAATCCCCAGCCAGTATATATTGGCCGTAATTCCACTGGAGTCAACGGGTCCAGACTCTCAGCTGGTATGAATTAGCATCACTCCAAACACGCCAATGGAGTAAAACCCATTTACACCAGCTGGGGATCTGGCCCTGCACTGTTAGGGCCTAACATGTCTAGAGATATCAACCAGAGCCCGTTCACCCATCCCCTTGGCCCGTCCTTTGTCGCTCAAGAGGGTAATCTCCTTGGGGCAGGCACCTGTCTCTCTTTGTGTTTGTCTGTCTTTGTGCTCAGTGGGGCCCAGATCCTGAACAGGGCCTGTGGGTGTTGCCATAGTAACTGAGACAGAACTGGGTGGGCGTTCCCAGCTTTTCCCTTCTCTCCCGGACGGTCTCCGAGCCGGTGTCGCTCATTCTTCACCTGCGCCGGCGCCTCTCGTGATCTCCCTTTCCTCGGAGCCCTGGAGATCCGGGACCCTCAGCTCTTCCCCTCGCTCCATCCAGGAGATCGCGGCCGGGTCAGGGACGGGGACTCCTGCTGGCGGGGAAGGAAACAGGCGAGACGGTGCTTGGTGAAATCTCAACCAAGGGCTCACAAAGAACGTGCCTGGTTTTAACCTCAGCCCCGCTCTCTGTTGGGTGGAGTGCAGGATCCAAGCATGGGAGATATGTTCACAGGGACCCTTTGGGACAATGAGACGTCTGAGGGCAGATGGGCTGCACCCCGTAGGGGAGTCAGGGATTCCCATGCACAAGTGAGCTGGATGCAGGCAGACGACAAAAATAAAACCTAGGTCTAACCCCGCATAGATAACTTATCTGATGGGCCAAAACCACCTTGGGCACTTCTGAACCGCCCACCCACCCACCAGCTCCTGATCCCCGAGGGGCAGCGGTGCCTCACCCAGTGAGATCAGAGTCTGGTAATTCTCCTGCATGACGTCCCTGTAGAGCTGCCTCTGCCCTTCGTCCAGGAGCCCCCACTCCTCCCGGGAGAAATACACGGCCACCTCCTCGAACACCACTGGCACCTGGAACCACAAGAGACCCCACAGTCCCATCTGACAGCAGGGGGAAGCAGGGATGAGGAAGGCGTGTCAGGGAGGGAGAGAGGAAGAGGGGGAGTGGGGCAGAGAAAGGGGATAGAGGGATGGGAGCAAGGACTGGAGGGAAGGAGTTTAAAGAGTGAGGGTGATGGGATGATATTCACAAGGGAACAAATTCTCCCTGCTCCCAAATTAGGACTGAATCCCTCCCTCGCTGTAGCCAATGGGCTTGTGCAACAGATTTCAGTGCCTCAGGATCCAGCACCCTACTGCTGTTCAAACTAAAGTCACGGACAGAGCAGGATCAGTGCCCAGGGGGCTTTTGAATGATCCCTCCAAGCCTCAGAGAGAAACCAGTTAACATCCCCGCCCCCTCCCCTCGGAGAGACGCTGGGCTCCATCCTTCTACAGCGAGGATGGAGTGACCACGCAGCTCACCTGGAAGCCGACCATGGGTGTCCATGACACGGACTCCTGCTCGTCATCGCTCTCCTCCTCGGATATCTGGGGCGGAAGCTGATCTGGGAAGGGGGGGGGGGGGAATGTGAAGAATGTATTATGTGGGGGGTCCCAATGCGGGTATCTGCCTCCTTCTAGACAAACCCTTCTGCTTCCACGTGCTGGGGTCATGCTTAGCCCCTGGCACCCACTCGCCCCTTGTAGGGCTGCCCCCTTGGCACCGGTCTTAGCCCTACGGTGCCCCCTCAACTGCTCTCCCACCCCATCCCGACCACCCTGCTCAGTACCCCTTTCCCGTCGCTCTCGGGGCTCCTGGGACGGCGCACTCCAGGATCCTGGAAGTTCCTCCTGAGACACACACTTCAGTCGCACCAGCTGGAGGCTAAGGGAATCCATCTTGTCTGAGACCACTTCCTGCCCAGCTTGACCGAACTGCAAGCAGGACTCGAGCAGAGCCTGGGAGAATGAGAGAACAGGGGAGCATTATGTGGAGGGGCGCATGCATCCTAGCCACAAAGGGCAAGCACAGCTGAGCGCTCAGGCCCCACCATGGTGCAGCCCTTGAGGCTTCTGGGGTTTCCAGGCTAAGAGCTCTGGCTTAGAGCTGCGTGGGCACCGCAAACTCCCCCACCTCTGCTCCTTAATCCTGGCTGCTTCTTTCCAGCCTCCAGGCAGCGTTTTCCTGCCTCTGCTGCTGTTTCTCTCCCTCCCCTGGAGCTGCCTCTGGTTGCCGCTCTCTGTGTCTCCCCAGCACCTGGTCGCCCCCCCCCCCCCCCCACCGCCCGGCCAGCTGGGGTGATTCCCCTGGGCCCTGGCCTGGGGATGCTGCAGGGATGCAGAAGAGTGACTCTGAGTCCTGGATGCAGGGGGCTGGACAGGAAGGTCCCAGCGCTATTACAGTCCCCGCTTCTGGCACAGGCAGGTTTGGGAGATTTGGTGGTTTTAACCCATTAACTTCCCAGATCGGGAAACACTGTGAAACGTTTCTGAGGAGTGAGCCCATCCCTGCTGGCTCTGTGCACCACAGCCCAGGCCCTCCAAGGTATTTAGGCTCCTAACTTCCAGTGATTTGGGGCCCTGGGGTCAGCACTGGTTGTAAGGGGGAGATTTCAACGGCCGTTAGGAGGCTAAATATCTTCGAGGATCTGGACCCGAGTCAGAATAACTGGGGCTCTGGGATATAGACTCCACCGGGGAGCCAGCAACTCCACTGGGAATTGCCCCTCACCAGCCTAGGGTGACCAGACAGCAAGTGTGAAAAATCAGGATGGGGGTGGGGGGTAATAGGAGCCTATTTAAGAAAATGTCCCAATCGGGACTGTCCCTATAAAATCGGGACATCTGGTCACCCTACACCAGCCCTCCCTGCACAGTGGTGCTGGAACAGTTTTTGGAGTGGGGGGTGCTGAGCTGCACCCCTCTAACCCCTGTCCAGGCCCCTCACCGCCCCCTATATCTGGGGCCGGGAGCAGGGCCTTGGCTCTGGGAGGGGGGACGTGGACAGGAGTAAGACAGCGGAGGCTGGGGCCACAGCTAGGGGCAAATGGGGAGCCCCAGCCATGGGGCTGGCCGCCGGGACCCGGCATGTGGGGCCAGCAGTGGAGCCGTCGTGCACAGGGCCGCCACCCCACATGCAGGGCTGGCAGCGAAGGGCCAGCAGCCGACTGGGACCCGGGGCTGGCAGTGGAGCTGGCAGCTGGAACCCCGGGCAGCAGAGGGGCGCAGGGCCAGCGGCCAGGACCCTGGGTGACAGGGATGCAAAACCTGGGGGGTGCTGCAGCACCCCTCACTCCTATGTCCCTCCATGGTTCACACCCATGGATGCATGGGCTTCTTTGGGGGAATGTGGTTCTGCTTCCCATTGTTGGCCCATTAATGACCCGTCGGGTTACACCCACAGTAGGGTGCGCTCTCCCCTCTCAGCCAGTGCTGACCCCAATGTTGTACTGTGAGTTCTGGGCTGAGATGGTGCCCAGTTGCACATATGCCTTAAAAGAAAGGTCCTGGGCAGTCATGTTCGGTACCGATCACACATCTCTTCCCACGGGCTGGGGCTTGAACCCTGGTGTCTGGCTCAATACACTCCTGGATGTTCCTAGTCACTTCCTCACCCCCTCCCCATCCCACACAGCGTCAAGGGGTACAGGAGTCTCTTCCCTTTCCCGCCTCACAGTTTGTGCAATGTTTTGAGGTGAATGATCAGCTATGGAGCCCACCCATTGTGAAGCCCACCCCCACTCCCCTCAGCAGACTCTGGGGAGGGCCACAGGCCTGATGGGTCTGTGGCAGCTGCAAATGGCGGGAGGTTCAAACGCTGGGGCCCGTGTTGTGGGAAATGGTGGGAAATTGGCCTGGTGAGTGGGGAGGTGTCTGTGGCTGTTGGAAATGGCGGGAAATGGGCCTGGTGGGGCCAGGAAGGCTCCATGGTGGTTGAAGGAAGCTCTATGCCAAGATCAGTAACCGGAAAGCTGCAGTGACATATTCACAAGCGTGTCCTGTGGAGAAAGAGTCTCAGGCATCACAGAGAGGAGCGTCTATTTCCTTTATAGGCTGGCGTACTGTGCCAGCCACAGATTTATTACGAAGACAATCCTTGTAGTCTCCCCAAGGCCTTTTATGACTCGCGGTACCGTGGAGGACGGCATTTTTATTTTCTTCCCCCTCAACACCCTGTCTCCCCTGCCAGCACGTTGGCTAGGGTTACCATATTTCAACACTGAAAAAGGAGAACACTCCATGGGGGCCCCTTCCCCACCCCCATTCCAACCCCTTCCCTAAAGTCCCCGCCCCAACTCCGCCCCCTCCCCTGAGCACCCCGCATTCCCCCTCCTCCCTCCTGCCCCCCAGCTGCTGCTGCACTGGGGAAGTTGCTTCGGCCCCCGCTGCGGTGGAGAGCGGCGGGAGCCGGGAAAGTTGGAGCCCGGGGAGGAGGCGGCTGCGTGCTCGGATGCCACCCGCCACCTCTGTGCCCCAGCAGATCACGGGAGTTGTAAGTTTTGCTGCAGCCACTCACACTCGGGGTCCCCTTACCATGCCTCCCTATTTTCCCGGATATGTGCGGCTTTTTGGAAATTCCTCCCGGACGGGGATTTGAGGACCGAAAAGCCGGACATGTCCGGGAAAATCCAGATGTATGGTAACCCTAACGCTGGCGATCGCCCCCCTCCATCTCCACAGTAAAATCTGTGCTCCGGGAACTGCTTTTTTGGTGTGTGTTTGTACAGCGCCAGGCACAGTGAGATCCTGGTCCATGAGTGGAGTTCCTAGGGGCTACCACACTACAGAGAAGAGTTCCTCTTCACCAAGATCCTGTTTATTGACCGGGAAGAAATAAGAAAGAGAAAACCAACAGCGAAAACCCCTGATGAAAAGCATTTTCACTCTCATCTCATGGGCAGCACAGAGCCAGGGGTCTCCGTTACCAAGGCTAAAAATGCTACAGCTCTACATTAGAAGCCAAGCTGGGCCTAGGAGGGGTTAACGATCCCTGCCAAGTGGGGAAGGGAGAAAACTACCCCAACCTGGGGCACTTTGTTGGCCAACTCCAGTGAGGAGGGGATGCCCGGGACCCCTGAGAAGCAGAATGTAACTGCCCTTTACGTTTTCCCTTCATAAAGTTTGTGTTTCATTTTTTATGCCGACATCCCGGGCTCTGACCCCTTCATCTTGTCCCCGGCTGTCTGGGTAGGCAGGTGGCTCAGTGTCCCTGGAAAAAAACCCTCCATGTTTAATTCCTATTCCACCACCCGCTGCCCAAACCCTAGATCTAGCCCCTCCCAAAAATCTTCCCTTCACTCAGGCTCCTCTTTAATCTGCAGTGGGGGCGCTGGTTCCTCTTTAATTTCCTGTGGCCGCTCCGGCTGCTCCTGTTTAACCCGATAGGGCCCATCTTGAATCTGCTGAGGCAGCTCCGGTTCCTCCTTCACCTGCAGGGGTGTCCCCGGCTCCTCCTTCACGTGGGGGGGCATCTCACAATCCCATGTCCCCGGCGGGAGCACCACCACCACCTCCTCGGGCTCAGTGCCGCCCTCCCCCGGCTGAACGAAGGGGTCCTTGTAGAACCGCGTCCCCACGGCCTCGTGAGAGCCGCCGCTCTCCTTGGCATGAGTCCGCTGGTGCTTGGCGAGAGCCGACCGCTGGCTGAAGCTCTTGCCGCAATGGGTGCAGGAGAAGGGCCTCTCCTGCGTGTGGATCCTGGTGTGCTGGACCAGTGTGGAGCTCTGCTTGAAGCCCTTCCCACACTGGCCGCAGCGGAAGGGCCGTTCGCCGGTGTGGGTCCGGTGGTGCCGCTTGAGGGCCGACATGCCGCTGAAGTTCCGCCCGCATTGGGCGCAGCCATAGGGCGACTCCCCAGTGTGGGTGCGGCGGTGTTGGGTCAGCGCCGAGCTCTGGCTGAAGCCCTTCCCGCACTGGCCGCACTTGTAGGGCCGCTCACCGGTGTGCAGCCGCCGGTGGGTGGTCAGCACCGAGCGCTGGCTGAAGCTGCGCCCGCACTCCTCACAGCGGTAGGGTGTCTCGCCGGTGTGGATCCGGCGGTGCTGCACCAGAGCGGAGCTGGCGATGAAGCTCTTGGGACAGTCGGGGCACTGGTGAGGCTTCTCTCCGGTGTGGGACCGCTGGTGCTGCAGCAGCGAGTGCCGCTTGGTGAAGCTCTTCCCGCAGACGTCGCAGACATTGGGCCGCTCCCCGGAGTGGCCGCGCACGTGGTCGTTGAAGGTGGCGCGGCGCATGAAGCTCTCCCCGCACTGGGGGCAGACGTGGGGCTTCTCCCCGGTGTGCACCCGCCGGTGCTCCGTCAGCGACGAGCCGCGCCGGAAGCTCTTCCCGCACTCGGGGCACTTGTGGGCCCGCTCCCCGGAATGCGCCACCAGATGTGCCACCAGGGCTGCGATCTCCCCGAAGCGCCGGCCGCACTCCGTGCACTTGTAGGGCAGCTCCCCGGTGTGGCCGCTCTGGTGCCGCAGCAGGTTGGTGCGGGTGCTGTAGGCCGCCCCGCAGTGAGCACAGACGTAGGGCTTTAACCCGGCGTGGACGCGGCTGTGGCGGGTCAGGTGGCCTTTCTGCCGGAAGCTCTTCCCGCACTCAGCGCACTGGAAGGGCCTGGCGCCGGTGTGGATGTGCTGGTGTTTGCTGAGGGTGGAGTGGAAGGCGAAGCTCCTCCCGCAGTCAGGGCAGCTGTAAGGTTTCTCTCCTGTGTGGACCCGCTGGTGCTTGAAGAGGTCATAGTTCTTCACAAAGCTCTTCCCGCAGTCGCCACAGATGACACGGCCCACTCGCCTGTGCCGTGCCTGGGGTGCGGATTTAGCCTGGGCCTTCCCCTGTCCCAGCCCTGCCCCACCCTGGCTCTCGACGGTCTCTCCCTGCTCGAGGCTCTGGGACGTCCCATGTGGCTTCGCTCCCACAGGCCCTTCCCGCTGGTGATTTTCCTCTTCATTCTCACTCACCGTCCCGGCACCTGCTGGGAGAGGGGGAGAGAGAGAGAGAGAGAGAGAGAGAGAGAGAGAATCCAGCGTGGGGTCTTCGTTCCCTGCG